TCTTCTTTAAGAAGAAGCTAATGAACAAAAGAATCTGACGAACTAAATAGATCCAGAGACATTGACGCATGCAACAGACGATCATATTTCAGAGGAAAGAGGGAAGGGGGTGGAGGGTGGGAAGAGATTAACCAAAGAAGTTATAGGCATAACCCATGGACACAGTTAATAATGGGGTGAAGGCCTGGGAAGGGGGTGGGAGGGAAGTGGAGGGGATCAATTGGGGGGAAAAAAGGGATACCTGTAATACTCTCAACAATAAAGATAAATTTTAAAAAACAAACAAAATGTAGAGCACAAAAAAACAAAACAAAACAAAACTCTCTGAGCCTACCATTGCCCTTTGGGGAAAGACTAGATACCTGGGTTGGCATTCAAGGCCCTGCAAGCCTGGTTTCCATCACCTCTCAAGCTTGTCTATAGCTAGGGCAGTCCCTCTAGCCTGCATTACAGCCCTCACTAATGCCTCAGCCCTCCCTGCACTCAGTTGGTCCTCTTCACCTCTGCAGCTCCGCAGAGCTGTTCCCCCTGCCTTTCCATGCACTCTGTCTTGTGGGGAAGTGAACTTCCAGGCATCTTTAGGGCCCCGCTCCAGAACTCCAAAGTCAAGGAACCTCTGCCACCAGCAGCCCCTCTGAGCTCTGTGCATGGAGCTGCCCAGAATTGGTCTTGGTTGAGTAGGCCTGATGGAATTTTGTGAGAACAGGTCCCCTCCTTGTGCCGAGAGCCACTTCACCGTGGGCCAGGGCTTATAAGCCTCTGTCCTGCCAGCATAGCAGGTGTCCTGGAGTGTTGCTGAAGGAACAAATGTGCAGGAAGGAATCCCCCAAAGGAAGGTTTTGTAGGGGTAAGGATGGGGTAGCAGTTACTGGAGCTTTTTAATTTTTTTGTATAATTTTTTTAAGTTTTCAAGCTTCTTTTTTTTTAAGTGATTCTTTGGTGAAGAATTTGGGTCAGCATAGATTTTCATAAATTGGGACACACCTGGATTCCCAAAGCTGTAATAAGAAACTGATAATGATGATTTTGTTGGGTGGATTTCCCTAGCTCCTGTGGCATGTTTTCCTACTCACCCTCACCTGGATCCTCAGACCACCCCGATAAAGGGGCATGTGCATGTGAGTGTGAGCATGTGTGTGTGTGAGCGTGTGGTCTGTATGTGTGTTAGCCCAGTTTGACAGATGTGACATGGACACCCCCATGTGGGAGGTCCCAGCGAGTTGAGGCTTCCCCACACACCCCAGTTGGTGTGGGGAACAGAGACCAGCCCAGAGGCCCTCACCCACACCCCACCCCGCCTGGACAGCTCACCGCATGATCCTGCCTTCTCCCCTCTCCCCTGTATTATCATTTATTTATTTCATGTTCTTCTTTCAATAGACTCACCTTTTAGAACTTAAATACGTTTATTTTAAAGGAAAGCTTAAATAACTAATGTAAATGGAAAACCAGCCACACTTGCCATAAATAGAAGGGACACACAGTGGGCACAGTCAGAACACAAGGGTTTCGTTGTGGCCAGGTGGGGCCCGGGCCCGCTGAGGGCTCTCTAGGCTTTAAGGGACCTGCTGGGGCTGGGAAAGGTGTTAAGGACACATGAGCACCAAATGGAGCCTTTCTCCATGATGAGGTCAGAGGATGACAGAGAACAGAAAGGGGAAGATGGTTCTCCCCAGGGGATTCTGGGGCCTCCCCAAATCACCCAGGCCTGGCATATCCCCAAGGCTGCCATGGTCTCTGGCTCACACCCTCTGCTTAGTGTACTCTTGCTAACCTGGGGGGGTCACTGAGCCTAATTGAAATTTTGAAGTGGGCTTAGAAAGGACAGGTTGTGACCTGTCCGGGGCCACCTGGTGGGAAGCCCTTCAGGTCTCACCTCCTCAGAGGGGCACTACTGACCATGACCCCCCCACACACACACACCAGTTCAATCCTGACGCCCTTTTCAGACCCTCAGGGCTTCTCGCACCGAGGAGACCAAGTCACTGCCCACTTGACCGGCTAATGTGTGCCACCCCCACTATCAGGAAGCCCCCCACAGCTTCACTGCATATGAGAGCTCAGTCCCCAGCGGGGGTTAGGCACAGAAAACAGGCTCAGAGAGATGAGGGCTCAGGGCCAAGGCCACACAGCAAGGATGCAGAGGAAGCCAGGCCCAGGCCCAGCTCTGCCTGACCCGAGGCGCCAAGAGCATGGACCCTGCCTCGGGCCCGCTGGATCCCCAGCTGGATCCCCAGGCCTGGCGTGGCCTTGTGAGGAGGGGTCCTGGGCCTTCCACCAGAGCCCGGGGAGGAGCAGCTGGCTGAGGTGGGCTGAGGGGCCCAGGGAGGAAGGGGGGGCTGGGACTCAAGGCCGGGCGGCCATCCCACATAAACCAACCCCAATGGAAGCGAAGAAAAAGGAGTAAAACCGAATGTCCTCGGAAATTCCTTTAGTGCTCAGCTGTCCATGAAAACAGGATAAAGTGGCTTCCTCTGTCTGTGACCAGCCGGGCAGGGTGGAGGCGCTGAGCTCAGGCCAGGGCTCCTGAGTCAGGCAGGGGTGGGGCTGGGCTGAGGGGGAAGGGGCTCCGCGCTGCTACTGGAGGGCATCCAGGTGGGTGCAGACCTGGGAGAAGACGCTGTCCACGCAGCCTTCAGCATTGACCTGCAGGGAGACTGGTGGTGAGGACGGGGACGCCGGAGGCTGGGTGGACCCCACCGTGGCAGGCCCCCCCAGAGGCCAGGCCTGGCTCCCGAGTCCAGCCGCAGTGGACAGCAGCCTGTCATCAAACCAGCAGGGAAACCAAGGCCCAGGAAGAACAGCTGGCCCAAGGTCACAGCAATTTGAGGCCAAGCCAGGCAAAAACCCAGGTTTTCTAGGGCTCCCTCGGGCCTGCAGGGGGCGCACCTTGCGTACGATGCCACGTTTCTCATAGAATGTGATGACAGGTTCTGTGGCCTTGTAGTAGGTGTCCAGCCGCTTCTTGATGGTTTCCTCATTGTCATCCACACGCCCGCTGGTCTCTCCACGCTTCAGGAGCCGCTTGGTCATGGTCTCAGGGCCTGCGTCCACATACAGCAGCAGTGTGGGCTGTCCAATCTGTGGGCAGGGCACTAGTCACAGGGGACCCTGTCCTGCCCACCCCAGGCCACCTCCCCCACATTTTCCCAGGGGCCCCACTTGAGATCCCCTCGTACCTTCAAGGCAACTTGACGGACCTTCCTAAAACCAATCTGCCTTGCCACTCCCCTGCTCAAACTTCTTCCATGGCTCCCCAGTGCCCTCAGGAGAAAGTCTAAACTCCTTTCCTGACCTATGAGGGCCAGCGCAGTGGGCCCTGCCCCTCCCCCCATCTGGTGCTCCTCACTCCTTTGCTCTCCTTGCTTCAGCCACACTGGCTCTGGGCTGGGCTGGCTCTCAGCAGCTTCCTCATCTGCCAGGCCAGGAGCCCTTTCCCTCAATACCAAGTGCCCACCTTCAGATCCAACTAAAATCTCATTCCCCTAGGGCAGTCTCCCTAGACGCCACCCCCACCGCCATCCCCAGCCCCTGGGACATGGTCTTCCAGTTCCCTCTACTTATGTCCTCAGCACCTCTCAGGAGGGCCTCTGGTTATTTACCAGCCATCCCTCTCCCCAGCGGGCCCGGAGCCCCTGAGGGCAAGGGGCGCCTGTCTTACAGCAGCAGGGCTGGGTAAGGACTTGAGAAAGGAACCAGGGATGAGTGAAGGGGTGAGCGGCAACTGAGCTCTGGGAGGTTCTCAACAATGTCACTGTCATTGGAATGATTGTTTCATCACCAAGAAGACTTGGAAGGGCGTGAAGGAGTTGACCTATCTTCCTTTGGTGGGGACCTGGCGCCCCCTGGTGTCCAGAGTAAAAAAGACCAGATACTGGACCCCTGAAGGCCACAGCAGGGCTGGGCCCTGTGCAGAGCCAGGCGCCCAGACCAACACCCACAGCAGCCCCAGGAGGAATGAGAACTTTCAACAACCCCATTTTCTAGATGTGGCTCTGAGGGTCAGAGGTAACATCACACAGCTGGTGCCTACCTAGGTCCATGGCCTCCTAGTCTGAAGGAAACCCAGCCAATCCCCATTTCACAGATAGGGAACCTGAGGCCCAGATCTGGATAGACACTTTCCTGAGGTCTTGCAGCCACTTAGAGGGCAAGAAATACAGTATCCTACCTCTAGATGTGGCTCAAAGCTATAGAAGTCTAAAGATGATTCCTGTCACAGAGATGGGCAGTGGGGTGAGGGTCTGGTCCAGCCCCCAGCCCACTGGGATGCCCAGTCCTCCTGGCAAGGCCTGCAAAGAGTCTTTCTGCCAAGAAGCCCTCCCTGAACCCCCTGCACACCCTTACTGACCTCTCCCTCCTTGGCACTTACGGCTCATTTTTCCCCCTATATGCATCCCAGTGTCTAGGTGCACTGAGTCCATGTACACACACTGTCTGAGGTGCGTGTGTGTATATTGCCAGGTGTGTGTGCACATGTACCCAGGCCTGTGTGCACGGATGCATATGCCTGTGGCTTTGTGCACATATATGTGAACCTCAGTGCCTGTGTGCACATGTACATGTGCTGTTGCCTGCATGTGCATGCACATGTCTATATACATGTGTGTATTTGGGTGAGATGCCCTCACCCTGTGGAGGGTTTTCCTGGTGGGTACCCATTCCAGGCAGCTCAGAGGGATGATCCTCAAGGCCCACTCTCTCCAGCAGGATTCCTTGTGGCCCCTGGAAGGAGGCTGGACTCTCCTCCTGGGCATCCGAAGCCTCCAGCCAGGCCTGAACCTCCCTTGCCCACACCATCCCCAGTTGCCCTGTCCCAATAGCTTCTGTTCTCCCCACACGAGCCTGACCTTCCAGCCCTGTCCATGCTATTCCCTGCCCCTCTGACCGCGTGTTTACAGATGCCAAGCCCCACTTCTGAAGAGTACATTCGCTCTAATCCCCATTCTGCCCCACGAGGCAGCTGTGCCCTATCTATCCCCATTTTGCAGATGGGAACACTGAGGTTCAGAATGACAGCCTGAGGCCTCGAGCAGTTAGGCTGGAACCTCAGCTTGGCCAGGCTTATGAACTCCCCAGCCCGGTGCTTCCCGTTCTTCTAGACTTTTCTCCTGGGCTTCTAGAAAGACTCCCAGAAAGTCTTCCCTCATTTACCTCCTTACCCACCCCCATCATCATCACCCGAAATCTCTCCCTCTGTGTCCATGACAGCAGCCTCTGCCTGGCTGCCCCCAGCACAGCTCCCAAAGGCCATCCACCAAGTTGTGCCTTACCCTCTGCTCAAACTCTTCCCCCTGCTGCACTTCCCGAGGGTAGCCGTCGATCAGGAAGCCTTTGGAAGTATCTACCTTGGCCATCATGGCATCTCGGAGCATGTCCAACACTGTCTCCTGTGGGCATAGCAAAAGAAGGAGGGGCCATGAGCCCCTCTTCACCCCTCCTCTGGGCTTGGTGTGCGCTTTCCCGCAGCTGAAAAGCCCTCTGTACTAACACGGACATTCCACACAAGTCTCCCTCTCCAGGCCTTCTCTGAACCACGAAGACTTGATGGATGGATCAAATCATTCATTCATTCATTCATTCATTCATTCATTCATTCATTCATTCAATATTATAGATTGAGGCCCTCCTCCCTGCCAGCTCCTGTTGGGGCCCAGAGGACACAGCTGTGAACAAAGACCTTCCCAGTCCTTGGGAAACTCGTGGTCTGTTGATTTATCAATTTCTAAGCATGACACAGGTTGTATGGGCAAAGGAGGGGGGCTACTAGAGTATAAAGTTAGGGGGTCTTAGCCCAAATCTGAGGAATCAGGAAAGTCCAAAAGCCAAGGAGGAAAAAACATTCCAGGCAGGAAGGAGTCCATTGAGTCTGAGGGGACAGAAAGGCCAGGGTGGTGGCAGGATGGAGGGGTCAGCAGGGCAGGGTCCTGGAGGCTCTTGGGAGCTTCTGGAAGGAATTTTGTGCCAAGGGCAATGGGGACCCACAAAAGGGTTCAGAGCCAGGGAAGGTCATGGTCAGCCTTGCCAGTGTGTCATGGGCTTTGCTGGCTGATGTCCACTCAGGGCCACCATCACCCCCGCCCACCCAGCTGGGGCCTACTCACCAGTGGCACCAGCTGCCCCTTCTCCATGATTTCCGACAGCATCTTGCCCCTGGCCGAGCCCGAGCTGACCTCGGCCCGCAGGAGGTCCCCGGTGGAGAGGTGGGTGTAGCCGTACTTCTGGACAATCTTCTCACACTGTGTGCCCTTCCCTGAGCCAGGCCCTCCTGCAAGCGCCCACCCATTCAGAAACCCTGAGAAACGGAGTCCTCTGCAGGGACAGGGTCTGCCCAGGTCACCCATGGAAGGAGGGGCACAGCCCAGAGTGCAGTCCCAGGCCCCAGCTCCCACAAGTGCCTGCAAAGACCCCCCCACTGCAAGTGCACCACCCGCCTGCCTCGGACTCACCCACCACGAAGATGATCTTGGTTTTCTTCAGCTTCTCTGTGGGAGAGAAAAGGGGGAGCAGAGCTGTCACTTGCAGGACAAATAGCCAGAGGCACCTCTGGATCCCAGGCCTGTACTGGGCCCGAGACAGAGGGACAGACACAGCTTACACTCCTGTCAGGGAGGCAGACAAGCCACAGCCCGGAGCAAATGGTGATGGCGAGGAAAGCTCAGGGACTGGGACAGGTCGGGGGAGAGAGGGCGTTCCAGGCAGAGGGACCAGCAGAGGCAAAGGCCTGGAGGCCACAAGCACAGGCTGTAAGAGGGACTCTGAGTGGCTCGAGTCACCCCAATCCCTGTGGGTGGCTGGACAGCAGCTGCTGGTCACCTCGGGCCTTAGAGTCTTCCTCACTGCGGAGGTTTCTGGATGAGCAGCAGGCACCCATGGTCCTGTTCTGCTGTGTCCCCTACCCTTCCCCTCCCAGACCCTGGGCCTGCCCATCCCCGCCTTCTTTGGGCGGTTCAAGTGCGGAGCTGGCAACCACAACATATGTTGCCCTGGAGACAGTTGCTGGGGAAGAGGGCTGTGGTGAGCATATGGAACCCTTGCCCAAAGACAGAGGCCAGTTGACATTCCGACCTCCGTCTCACTCACCCTTAGAACTCAGCGAGACCACAGCCCCACCAACAGAGGGAAACTGAGGCCTAGAGGGGTGGGGGCCCGGTCTAGGGCTGCCAGAACCCAAATTGGAACCCGGGGCCTCTTCTCAGGCTGCTGGCCTTCCCTTCCCCGGGAAGCAGGACCTGGTTGTGAGGCCTTAGAAAAGAAGTCTCTGCCCCTTTCTGGTTCTCTGTCCCTGTCCCAGTGACAAGGTGAGCTCAGAAGCTCCCAGGGGCTCTCCCAGTCATGAGGTTAGAGCCTGGAGGAGCTGTCAGAGCGACGTCTCCCATGCCTTCCCCACCCCCTGCCTGCCCTGTGACCAGCACAAGCCTGGGCGAGGGGGAGGCTATAGCCCAGTGGCAGGTGACATTCAGAGCCCCAGAGGTGGAAGGGTGACCGCTGATTTCAGGCAGCAGCAGTCAGGCCCACTGGGCTCCTTTAAGAACTGCCCAGGCCGAGGCTCAATGCCAGGGATGGGATGGGTGGTGCTGCCAGGAGACAGGCCAGCTGGGCTCTCTGCCCATGACTCCTTCTAGGTCAGGCCCATAGGAGCCTGGAGGACCCAAGAGCCACCCCCACTGGAGAGTGGGGAAACTACATCCCAAGAAGAGCATCTGCACACTTGGGGCCGCTCTACAGGGCAGGCCTCCCCTTGCCAGTGCCTACCCTCTCTAGAAAGAGGCAGGGATTCAGCTCGAAAAATACCAGCATAGGATGTGAGCTATGGGGCACTCTGGAGCCTCAAGGAGGGCCCATCACTTCTAAAATTAATCTTGAAGCTGGCACATCCCATGAGAGGCCTGAGGAGGGTGCGGAAGCTCCCCGGCAAGCCCCACCTGGCAGCCCGAGAGCCTCCTCCAACCCCTCCCAGAGTGTCTCCCGAAAGCACACCCCCTTAACAGCTGGGCACACTGAGGTACAGGCAGTGAGCAGGAGAGAGGAGCCTCCATACCTTCCATCCTGCCGAGGTCCAGGGAGTGGAGTCAGCACGCTGCAAGATAAGGCACAGGTGGGGCGGGTGAGCGAGAGCTCCCCACCCTGCCTCTGCTCCAGCCAAGCCACAAGCCACTGGGGTGTGCCAGGCCCTGACTTGCCCTCAGAGGGGGCCGCCGGAGGCGGGCAAGGTCCAGGAGTCCCAGGTGACCTTGGAAAAGTCATCTTTTTTCCGTGTGCCTCTGCTGCCTCACCTGTCAAGAAGGGCAGAAGTCCCCTCCCACCACTGAGGGCCTCAAGCAGAGACACCAGCCACTGCGGAGGTGCTATCCTCCCAAGTCCCAGAAAACAGGGTGAGGTCCTGTGCCCGGCACCCTAGCAACACTCCCCAGGGTGGAGGGAGAGGAGAGCTGCCAGGAAGCGGGAGGAGGGACAGGAGCTGCGTGTGTGCTCATCTCCAATGGGGTTTGGAAGGGGTTGCTCGAAGGGACACAGGAGTCTGAAGTGAGCAAGCTCTTCACGTGGACATAGCCCTGCAATTTTCAAATGAGGGGGTTCCTGGGCTTCCCCCTCCAGGCCCAACTCCTACCCCCCATGTGGCCCCTGCCCCCTCACCCCATGGAGGACGTTGCCACACTGCCCTCCTTTCCCCCCAGCACATAAGTCAACCCCAACCCCTCCAGGGACCCCACTCCACTTCCACAGCCCCCCAGGGACCTCCCCAAACCTCCCCTTCCCATCAGTCTCTTTAGAATTGCTGCCTATACACTTCTGGCCTTCACCCCCCTGCCCTCCCCAAGGCCACCTGCAACCATCACAGCCACTCTTGCCTTGACTGGACCCTTGGCCACCATTCCTCCTGCTGGGACCTCACCTCAGACCCCTACTCCACCCTCTCACTATTGGCTTCAGGTTGCCAGGACCCCTCCATCCCTGCCCAGCCAGCCCAGGCCTCTCTACCCAACTCCATAAATCTACGGCCCCTACACAGGCCGGAGGCCCTGCAGACTCTGAACAGCCCCTCCTCTGTCCCCAGTTAGAGTCCCTTCTCTCACACCTACCTCCATCCTGTATAAGTGCATTCCAACCCTCTTGCTCCTGAACCTCTCTGAACTGTGTCCTCACAGCCACTACCTTGTTCCAAGAAGGAGCCTTCCCACCTCTATATCCCTCCAGGACATCTTCAGGATTTCCCAAAAAGCATAAGACCACACTGCTCATCTGCTTAAAACCCTTCCATCTGTGGCCACCTCAGCTCCCAAGATAAAGCCCTCCCCCCACACACACACTCTGCAGCTTTATCAACTGGGGCTTAAACTGCTGGGAGCTCCCTCACCCCACCATGACCGTGTCCCACCTCCGGGCCCCAGCTCATGTTGCACCCAATGCCTGAAAGCCTTTCCCTAAGGTGTTAATGTTTAGGACTCACTTTAAGTGTCACCTCCTTCAGGAAGCCTTCCTGAACTCTGCTCTCCACTCCTACACTAGCAGGTACCTCCTCTGAACTTCCCCTGGCGTCACACACACACCACACTGTATGGGACCTCTCTGTTGTAGTACAAGCCTGTGTTCCCCACCACGCTGGGCCTGGCCCGGGCTGATCGTAGGGATGGGGGCCTTACTCCATCCCTGTGGCCATCTTGGCAGGGAACTGAGGCTTGGAGAGGAGAGACTTGCTCCAGGGCCTGGCTGGGGTCAAACCTGGGGCTGCATTTTCTGCTGCTCTGGGCCCAGCACCCAGTAGGTCCTTAAGCAGCTGCTTGTGGGCATGAGTTCAGCCTCTTTCTTGCTGAGTATGCTTAAGGAAGGGTAGTAGCTGCCAACAATTCAGCAGCTGCTGGGGGAGGGGGAGGTCCCCCAGGCCAGGAACAGCCTGTAGTGAACCCCCCTGCCCTGCTCCCTCCCAGTAACCTAAGCCCCACTGTCCTGCTGGAACCTGCCGCCGCCTTGGTCCAAAATAACCTGGGTTATGAAGAGGCCTCTTAGGGGTCAGGGGTCCAGGACGGAGTTAGGTTACAGGCTCAGCACACACGCCTCATAAGGTCTCTGGATCCGGGCCACAGCGATTCTTAGTATATAACTGGGTGGTCTCTCAAGGGGTCTGGGGAGCTGAGGCCAAGGGGATAGAGACTTAACCTCAATCACAAGGCAAGTCCAGGGCAAGACCCAGGTCTGCCATCTCCTGACCAAGAGCAGCCTTTTCAGTGGTTGGCAACCAACTAGGGGTCAAATCCCAACTCCATCACTCAGCTGTGTGACCTTGGGCCGCTGGTGTCCCCTCTCTGGGCCTCCACCCCCAGGCCCTGTCCCGCTGCTGCTGAAGAGTCCTTGGTGGGTAGTTGAGTAGTACTCAGGAAGGGCCCCAGGGCTCCCCCAGAGCCCTGCCCTTTCAGAAGGCTGAGGCAGAGGCCAAACATCCAGGGGGCATCCTGTGTCCCCCCCGCCCCCCAGCACTCAAAATGATGTGACAGGATAGCTCCTCCAATCCCATAGGCTGCCCTGCCCAGGTCCTCCAGGGCCAGGAGTCAGGCCACAGCCCCCCTCCCAGGGCCCCAGCTGGGACATGCCAAGGACAGGAACCTGGAGCCCCAGGAGTATGGGCTGGGACAAAGGGGTGACTGTCTAAGGCTGGGAGGGACTGCAACACACACACACTCACACACACTCACACACACTCACACACAAAGGCACAGAGTGTAGCACAAATAGCCAGAGCAGCGTCTGGGGAGTACAGACAGGCAAACACACACAGATCACAATCATGGACACACACTGAGCCACACAAATCCCAAGGATACCCTGGCACTCGCGAGCAGCACTCCTCAGGTGCCCGCGGCTGCCCACTCCCCGCGGAGGCCCGTCCCCCCCACGCACACAGGCAGGCACGGGGCGCACACTGACCTGGGGTGGGGTGCGGGTGGGCGCCGGGGCCAGTGCGTGCCCTGCCCGTCCTCGCCAGCCACCCGCCCGCAAAGGCGACTATTTATAAGGCTGTCAGCAG